TGGGGTGTAAGAGGCCTACACCCTGGGGAGATAATTGGCTGTTGTAGTGTATTGGTGCAACAATTTTGGGGGGTTATCGGATGTAGTGAAGTGTAATAGGCTATAGTAGCAGGTTTAGGGGCTGTAGTGGTAAGGGGCTGTAGTAGTGGGTTTAGGGGCTGTAGTGGGGCTAAGGGCTGCTATTGGGAAGGCATGGGCTGAAGAAAACACTGGTTTATTCCCCTCTCCCTGATGCTTACCTTGGGCCAGGGAGGAGGAGAATCTTGATCCCTGGTGGTCCCAGGCTCGGAGTGAGCTAAGCAGAGCCTAATTCAGGTGGCAGGGCCAAATGTGAGAGGGTGGAGCCTAATGTAGTCCATCCCAGTGCCAGGACTAGCACCACAACCACTTACACATCTGTAGGCCTCCCAGTGCCAGGATTGCCACCACAACCACTTACACATCTGTAGGGCTCCCAGTGTCAGGATTGCCACCACAACCACTTACACATCTATAGGGCTCCCAGTGCCCGGACTGCCACCACAACCACTTACTAGACATGTGCAATTCGATGGTTCCAGGGTAGGCTTGACATGTTGACATGCTCCAACTGGCTGTGGTTGTTGGCTATTCAACACCTTCCCTGTCTGACTGGCATTTCTACAGAGCAGCTGGAACTGATAGCTCTGCTGCACTATTTTCTGTCCATCTAGGTTTTGCTTTAGGCCCATTTTCTCATTCACCTTTTCAGATTTGGCACACAAATCCCATCGGTGTTGTGACTCACAGATTTTCAAATAAAAAAGGCTTATCATTGATCTTACCACTCCTCATTCTTCACACACACCAAGCATTAACTCTCAAATTCCTGCTGAAGAATTTTACCTCCATTACGCCACCGTCGACAGCGCCATACAGGCCATTTTACACGCGGGTAAGCACGCTTTGCTTAGCAAAACTGACAACTCTAATGCTTTCAAGCTGTTACCAATTCACCCGTCCCTATGGCATATTCATGGTGTTAAGTGGAGGGATAATTATTACTTTTACAATAGACTTACTTTTGGTTCCAGGAACAGTCTGAAACTGTTCGATATCTTCGCAGAAACACTGTACTGGCTGCTTCTCAATGTCGTTCGATGTCCCATGGTGATTTACTACCTCGACGACTTTCTCCTGGTAGAAACTGGTACACAGACACCTCAAAGTATTTTCAGCACTACTGCCTTTTTTTACCACATTAGGTATCCCTATTTCACCTGATAAGACTCTTGGTCCCTCCACTGGGATGGTGATCCTAGGCAAGTCTCCCAACGGAGAAGCTGGTATGCATTAGGAAAGAGATGGACAATTTGCTGTGGGCTGGTTTGTGTACTCGTAGGGAGCTTCAGTCCTTACTGGGGTCACTCAATTTTGTCATGCGAGTAATCCCACAGGGATTTCATTTCCATGCTTCTTTGTATACCACCCGGCTTGTCTGATGATTCGATCATTCTCCACAACCCCCTTGCTATTATGGGTAGGGGCTCCCAGTGCCAGGACTGCCACCACCACCACTTACACATCTGTAGGGTTCCCAGTGCTAGGATTGCCACCACAACCATTAACACATCTGTAGGGATCCCAGTGTCAGGATTGCCACCACAACCACTTACACATCTATAGGGCTCCAGCCTCCCAGTGCCAGGGCTGCCACCACAACCACTTACACATCTGTAGGGTTCCCAGTGCCAGGATTGCCACCACAACCATTTACACATCTATAGTGCACGGACTGCCACCACAACCACTTACACATTTTTTGGGCAACCGCCTCCCAGTGCCAGGACTAGCACCACAACCACTTACACATTTATAGGGCTCGCAGTGCCTGGACTGCCAACACAACCACTTACACATCTGTAGGGCTCCCAGTGCCAGGATTGCCACCCCAACCACTTACACATTTGTAGGGCTCCCAGTGCCAGGATTGCCAACACAACCACTTACACATCTGTAGGGCTCCCAGTGTCAGGATTGCCACCACAACCACTTACACACCTATAGGGCTCCAGCCTCCCAGTGCCAGGGCTGCAACCACAACTAATTACACATCTGTAGGGTTCCCAGTGCCAGGATTGCCACCACAACCACTTACACATCTATAGTGATCCCAGTGCCCGGACTGCCACCACAACCACTTACTAGACATGTGCAATTCGTTTCATACAATTCGGACATTCAGATGCTTACGAATTGCCGAAGTTCCGAATTGCCGAAGTTCAGTAGTTCGGAAGTGCCGAACCAAATGCCATTGGTCCGAATTGCTGAAGCAGACACATTTTTTTTTTTTTTTTTGTAAATATCTTTTTATTAAACCTTTTCACTTTTGTTGATTTTGCAACGTGTCAAAGAGAAACGTGGACTCGCAGGTCCCTCTGGTCATTCACAGAAGCTTATACATCGGAAGGCATGTGATGACATACGTGTCTGGGCGACTCGCAGGTCGCTTTCTTGAGTAAATAGCATGTGTATTGTGGACTCGCAGGTCCGGTGTTACATGGTGGTGCTTAGTACTCTGTTATATTTGATATGTACCATTTCTATGTTGGGTGGTTTTGCATGCCCCACCGTGGTTGTGTTTTGTTTGTCTATTCCCCATGCCTACCCTGTAGCCTCTAGGCAGTAGTGAGACATGTGGCCATCTGGTGTGTAGGGTCCCTTCAGGACGCGCAGCCCCCCAGTGACCTTGTGTCCAGGGTCCTACCTGGCCATATTGTGGGGTGTTGGCCCCCTGCCTTAGTATAATTTGGTTCTGCCAAGCGGCATAGGTGGTGTTGGTGGGAATAACCTAAGGGGCATCCTGCGACTCCCTCCAAACTAATGAGCTTTATAGCTCACAAAACAGGCGCTCTTCCACCCCCTTTATTCGCGAGGCCGCAGTCCGCCCCGGGCCCCGCAAGTGGTCGCACCCTAGCGGGTGTCGTGGCCCTCCCCGCACACCCCTGCGCCGCCCCCCGGGTCCCCCGAACCCGTGCTCCACCCTGTTCCGACAGGGGGCAGGGGTGAGGTATCGCGTTTTGGGCCAGGTGTGGATCGTCCCGCTAGTCTCCCAGCGTCTCCTCCTGGGGATTATCGGTTCCTTCCCCCATGGTCAATTGCATAGTCCGAAATGCCTCTGTACCCACCCGTGCCAACCAGGGTGTCCATGTGTCTAAGTATGTCCCCCGAACCCGTGCTCCCTCGCGCGCCTGCCTGCCCGCCCGACCAGCCACCCGCCCAGGAGCCCAGCAGCACCACTGGACCCCAGGGAATCCCCCCAGCACTCCAAAAGGTAAGGAGGCTGGGGGGATTAAATTTTAAAAAAAGTGTGTGTGTGTTAGAGTATGTGTTTTAGTGTGTGTGTGTGTTAGTGTATGTGTGTGTTAGTGTATGTGTGTGTGTGTGTCAGTGTTTGTGTTAGTGCGTGTGTTAGTGTGTGTGTCAGTGAATGTGTCTGTTATTGGGTGTGTGTCTGCTAGTGAGTGTGTTACTGTGTGTGTCTGTTACTGTGTGTTTGATATCTGTTAGTGAGTGTGTGTTTGTCAGTGAAAGTGTATGTTTTGTAAGTGAGTGTGTATGTATGTCTCGTTGAGTGTGTCTCTGTCAGTAAATGTGTCTGTTAGCTAGTGTGTATGCGTCTGTTCGTGAGAGTGTGTGTGTGTGTCTTCAGCATTTACCTTTCTCCAGCGTCGGACTCCCCAGTGTCCGCCACTCAGCTCCGAAATGCACATGCGCGGCAAGAGGCGCGCGCGCATTTAAACCGCCCATAGGAAAGCATTAATCAATGCTTTCCTATGGACGTTCAGTGTCTTCTCACTGTGATTTTCACAGTGAGAACCATGGAAGCTCCTCTAGCAGCTGTCAATGAGACAGCCACCAGAGGCTGGATTAACCCTCAGTGAAACATAGCCATTTCTCTGGAACTGCTATGTTTTCAGCTGCAGGGTTAAAACTAGAGGGACCTGGCACCCAGACCACTTCATTGAGCTGATGTGATCTGGGTGTCTGTAGTGGTCTTTTAAGTGTGTGTGCATACCGCGGTCGCGGGGTCGCAGCCCTGCAACCCCTGCGACCAGGTGCCCGCCACCATGTGTTGCGACCCCGACCCGCGCCGAGTAAGCGCGGGGGGGTGGGGGCCCACGGATCAATTTTTGCACCGGGGCCCCATGGGTCATGTGTACGCCACTGCTGGATCCTAAACTTTCACCTACAGTAATATCTGATACCAAATCTCCATTTGTTAACACTAAATCTAGTATGGCCTCTTTCCGAGTTGGCTCCTTAACGACTTGTTTTAGAGACAATCCCAGTAGGGAGTTTAGAATATGTGTGCTCCTGGCACAAGCAGCTATTTTTGTTTTCCAATTTACATCAGGAAGATTTAAGTCACCCATGATGATAACTTCCCCCTTCATTGTCATTTTAGCTATTTCCTCAACTAGTAGATTATCTAACCCTTCAATTTGTCCTGAGGGTCTATAAATCACACCTACACCAGTTACTGTGTGATTACCAAATGCTAATGTAACCCAAACGGACTATATGTTCGCCTCACTAACTTTTATTAGGCTAGATTTTATGCTATCCTTCACATACAAGGCCACCCCTCCCCCTTTCTTTTCTATATAAAGAGTACCCTGGTATTTCTATGTCCCAGTCATTTTTCTCATTATGCCATTTCTCAGTAACAGCGACTAAATCTACACTATCAGTTGCCATTATTGCCACAAGTTCACGGATCTTTTTCCTAAACTGCGAGCATTTGTAGACATGACTCTAAGCTTTTCATTTTTAACACACTTGCTACAGGCACCTTCTGTCCTTGTTTTGGGAGACAATTGGATTGATGTTTTATCACCCTTTTGCCCCCCCCTCCTAGTTTAAATACATCCTAGCAAAACCTCTGAACTGCTCACTGAGACCATTTGTTCCCTTTTGAGAAAGATGCAAACCATCTTTTTTGTACAGGTTATTTTCATTCCAAACAGAGCTACCATGAGAAATAAAGCCAAATCCTTGCTCCCGACACCATTCACCAAGCCACAAATTAAAGTCCCTAATACGCATCTGCCTGTCGTTCTGAGTGTTATGCACAGGCAGAACTTCAGAGAATGACAGTGTGGAAGCAACCTGCCGTATATCATTGGCAAAAACACTAAAAACTTCCTTAACCTCTGAAACCTCATTGCAAGCTAAGTCATTTGTCCCTAGATGGACAAGTACATCCAATTCCCCTTCCTGCTTTGCTCGCTTAACAATATTACAGATACGTCTCCTGTCTCTGTGAGCAGTAGCTCCGGGAAGACACCTCACAAGACCACCATTGTTCATCTCCACACCTCTTATGATGGAATCCCCCAACAACTGCTTTCTATTAGGCCTCACCATAGTCTCCAAGCCTGAGCCTGTCTCCACAACACCACTAGCCTCAGTGCCTCTCTCCACAACACCATTACACTCTGAATGTGCAGAAAATGAATTATGTAGAGCAACAGACTGTGCAATATGCCTTTTATCCACAACTCTAAGTCTACCAGATCCGACAGTAATCCTTCTGCCATTCTTAGTATGTCTCTGCGGCAGTGGCTTTGCAGCAGTTCCTGTCTGAGTTTGTTCACTAGATAATTTACAAATCTCAGACTTCAAAAATACAATCTCCTGCTGCAAGATAGAGAACTGTCTACAGATTAGACAACAACCAAACCTCCAAAAAGTGGAACATGAAACAAATGCATAGCAACTATTACCCTGAACTAAGTCTGCCATTCCAATGAGGAGAATAATTTAAATCAAACGAATCTTAACTTTTTATTTATCCTCCTGAATACCTCAGATTACCTCCAGGTTATCTCCAGAATATCTCCAACCACACACTTAGAAGCAGCACTCTCCAGAATATCTCCAACCACACACTTAGAAGCAGCACTCTCCAGAATATCTCCAACCACACACTTAGAAGCAGCACTTAGATGAAGCAACCAAGCTATATTAGCTAAGCTAATGACAACAACCCTTATATAACTCCTAAAATCAACACCCACTAGGAATGTTTAACACCTGGGTAGGCCTCTGCTTATTTGCAAACAATAGCTAATTAAACAGCAATCAATAGCAAGTAGCTAACTAATCAAATCAAATGCCTTATAATTACCAACAGGAAATCAAACCTTGTGCAATCAGTAACCTTTCCCTACAGATGATTCTTACCTGTAACAGTAGAAAAGAAAACTCTTAGCACAACTCTTAGACAGTTGAAGCTTCTGTAAAACTCTCCAGAATATCTCCAACCATACACTTAGAAGCAACACTTAGATTATTATTATTATTATTATTATTATATTTATAGAGCGCCATCAAATTCCACAGCGCCTTACAATGGGTGGACGAACAGACATGTATTTGTAACCAGACAAGTTGGACACACAGGAACAGAGGGGTTGAGGGCCCTGCTCAATGAGCTTACATGCTAGAGGGAGTGGGGTAAAATGACACAAAAAGGTAAGGATAGTATTAGACTAATGACAGTTGCAGAAGAGGAATCAGTCAGGCGCTATTAACAGTTTAATTTATACGCTTTTATGAAGAAGTGGATTTTTAACGAATTTTTGAAGGAGTGGAGACTGGGTGAGCATCTAACGGAGGAGGGAAGCGAGTTCCACAGGAACGGTGCAGCTCTCGAGAAATCTTGAAGGCGAGCATCAGAGGTGAGAGTACGGACAGAAGTCTTCGTAAGTCTACGTAAGTCTTCAGCAGATCGTAAGGGCCTAGACGGGACATACTTGTGTACAAGGGAGGATAGATAGGTGGGAGCAGCATTATGTAGAGATTTGAAAGCAAGAACCAGAATTTTAAATTGAGCTCTATATTTTATAGGAAGCCAATGTAGGGACTGACAGAAGGATAAGGCATGGGAGGTGCAGGCGGACAGAAAGATGAGCCTCGCTGCCGCATTCATTATGGACTGTAACGGCGCAAGTTGGGAGCACATAAGACCACTGAGAAGCGGATTACAGTAGTCAAGGCGAGAAAGGACAGTGGAATGGACCAACACCTTAGTCGCATCTGGCGTTAAGTAGGGGCGGATGCGCGCAATGTTTTTGAGATGGAAATGACAGGATTTGGCAAAAGATTGAACATGAGGCTTGAAGGAGAGGTCGGAGTCAAAGAGAACACCTAGGCAGCGAGCCTGCATGGTGGAGCTGATGGTAGCACCGTTGACTTGGAGGGAGGGAGACACAGGAGTAACAACACTTGAGGGAGAAAAGACCAGAATTTCAGTTTTGGTCAAGTTTAGTTTAAGGAAGTGGGCAGCCATCCAGTTAGAAACAGCAGAGAGGCAGTCAGAGACACTAGTCAGAGGGACGGGGAGAGATCAGGAGAGGACAGGTAGATTTGCGTGTCATCTGCATAGAAATGATATTGGAAGCCAAAGGAGCTAATGAGTTTACCAAGGGAGGCAGTATAGATGGAGAACAGTAGGGGACCAAGGACTGAACCATGGGGGACACCAACAGAGAGGAGTTTGGGAGAAGAAGCAGAGCCAGAGAAAGAAACACTGAAAGAGTGCTGGGAGAGGTAGGAGGAGCACCAGGAGAGAGCAGTATCTGCAGAGGATGAGAAGAAGCTGTTGATGATCAACAGTGTCAAAAGCCGCAGACAGGTCAAGGAGAATTAGGATAGAGTAGTGACCATGAGATTTTGCAGCGAGTAGATCATTGGATACTTTGGTCAGTGTCGTTTCCACAGAGTGCTTAGCGCGGAAATCAGACTTAAGCGGATCTAGCAGAGAGTTGGACTCGAGGAATTCTGTCAATCTCACATACACAATTCTTTCAAGGATCTTGAATGCAAAAGGCAGTAGCGAGATAGGACGATAGTTGGATGGGGAGTTAGGGTCAAGATTGGGCTTCTTTAGAATTGGGGTTACAGTTGCATGTTTGAAGGGCAATGGAAATATACCAGAGGAGATAGAGAGATTGAGAATTTTAGTGAGAGGTGGAGAAAGAGAAGAAGACAGAGTATGGATGAGATGCGAGGGAATTGGATCTAGGGAGCAGGTGGTGGGGCGGGAGGACTGGAGCAGAGCAGAAACCGCTTCCAATGTAGCAGGTGCGAATGAACATAGAACAGCAGAGGGAGTGAAGTTAAGATAAGTATTGTAAGGGGAAGAAGAAAGATTAGAGATCTCTTCTCTGATTGTAGAGATCTTGTCAGTGAAGTGAGTTGCAAAGGGGGTCAAGTTAGTAGGTGGAGGAGGAACAGCAGGGCGAAGAAGAGAGTTAAATGTGTGTAATAGTCGTTTGGGTTTGCAGGAGAGTGTGGTTATGAGGGTATTGAAATAATTTACCTTTGCATAGGAAAGAGCCAAGCTGTATGAGCTCAGCATAAATTTATACTGTTATTGCAACAAAGCCTCACTATTTTTGTTTAACATTGCCTCCTGAATAAAACAGTAACCCATGTACCAGATTTTCAGATTTTTGGGGGAAGTCACAGGGACAAAAATATTAGATGTCCATTTCAAAGTTGGAAATTTGGGAAAGTGATTTTCTGTGCCTATCTAGCCTTTGAGAGAGTATGGCAGCATGGGTAATAACATTTTCACCATTATGGCATACCATTTTCCAAAGTAGGCAATCCAGAGTATTCCAAAGGGCATAATTTGAGATGTTTGGTATAGCCATTTTAACAGAAATGCAGGGCCCATGTAGCGATTTCTACTTTTTTGTCTTTTTACACACATGAATTGCATTTTCACAGGAAATATCATAATCCTGATCTTAGTTAGTGCAATAGAGCCTCTGTATTTTGATTACACATTGTTTCACTAATATAACAGTACCCCACGTACCATTATTTCAGATTTTTTTTCCGTAAGTCACAGGGCGAAATATATTAGATGTCATTTCAGCTTGTAAGTTTGACAAAGTAATTTTCTGGGCCTATATGGCTTTTGAGAGAGTATGGCAGCATTGTTAATAACATTTCCGTTATGGCATACCATTTTCCAAAGAAGGCAACCCAGAGTATTCCAAATGGCATAATTTGAGATGTTTGGTCTAGCCATTTTAACAGAAATGCAGGGCTCATGTAGCGATTTCTGCTTTTATTTTTGTCTTTTTACACACATGAATTGCATTTTCACAGGAAATGTCATAATCCTGATATTAGTTAGTGCAATAAAACCTCAGTATTTTGATTTAACACTGTCTTCTGAATATAACAATACTCACATGTACCATTTTTCCAGGTTTTTATTATATCACAGGAATAGAACACTACCCCACATACACTTTGATGTGAAGGCAGAGAGACAGAGAGATCTTTCATCTAACAACAAAGAGTTACTGCGTGAAAAGCTTGAGAAGTTTAAAAAAATAATAATAATAATAATAATAATAATATTATTTTATTAACCATTTCAGTGTTAATCACAGCAAACAAACTGACAAAGTTCCATACAGAGTGATTTAATTCAAGCTCAACTCTGTATGGTAGACTTTAATACAGTCTGTTATGCAGAGGCCAGGTAGAGATGGGCAGGTTGGGCAATAATAACTGGAGTCCTTTCAGACTCCTTTCTTGTATGAAACACTTTCTTTAAGGAGCTTTTTTTACGGGGGGGGAGGGGGGGTGGTTAAGGGTTTCAAAAAGGGAAGTTTTTGCCATAAAGTCTTTGGAGGTCTCCTGATTCCAAAGTGGGATTGGGGGGCTGGGTAAATAACATATGGGATAAAAGGATTAGCAAGAATATAAGCAAAGGTGTGAAGAAATCCCCCTATTTCTGCCTATTACATTCGGTAGATGTAGCTACCGAACAAAGACCACCCCCCTAGCTCGTTAAACATCAAGGATTACTTCAATTGATGCCTCTGTCTGTGCGGCCAGCGTTCATCTGCCGAACGCCACGTGGCAGAGAAAACCGCGGCCATCTTTGTTCATGCGAACAAAGGAAGCGGGACTTGGTCGTCGAGTGTATGGAACTGAAATCGGACACAAGACTTCCCTAACACTGGTCTCAAACAGATGAACGCTGGAACTCTACTTACCGAATAGCTAGAAGAGTGCTATTCGGTACTTTGGTGCATTCGACAGAGAGGGACGATTGCTGCTAAGAGCCAGGGGGATCCATTCGGTAGTTTGTTCGTTTTTCTTCTCTTTCTAAAGTGACCGGCAAAACCCACCAAACTCATGGAACTGTT